GAGGTCTTTTATAATTATTCAGTATTGTTTGTGCAGTGGCACTAAAGAGTCTCCACCCAGACATGTGGATGCTGGAAGGCCATGCTCAAAGAAATAGTCCTTCCCTGAAGAGACTGCAGGTGGTCTGGGGTAGAAGGCAAATTCCCAAAGGAGATAAGTGGGATTCTTGGCAGCTGGAGTCTGAAAAGGCAGGAGATGAGCATGAATTGAGTGAGTGAGCCTGTGCTGTGGTTACTGCTCTGGAAGGGATGGGAAAGGGATATTCCCCACTGGTTTTATATCCTCAGACATATTTTTTGTTACTGGAAGTAGCCAAGGGTAAAATTCTCATCACTTCAGAGATGCCCCTTACAGAAACTGGCCAGGACCCTGCTCTGCACATGGGCTGGCAGGGGGGGAAATGTTCATTTTTCCTCAGGAGAGCTCTGGTAACACAGCAGTCTGCACAGCCTGGCTCCACCACCCCAAAAAAACAGCAGCTGCTGAAAGATCCCTGACAGTTTTCTGTAAGGTCACTGCACTCCTGGAGACAGGCACTGAAACTACTCAGACTGCTGAGGGATTGGGGAAAAATGGGGAATCCTCTAACAGGGTCTTCAGGTTGCACCAAGATCAGTGTAATCACAGCCTGGCCAACAAAACCAGACAAGCCATTCTTGCGTTGGGATTTTTTTTTTAATTTTATTTTCTTGGAAAAAACATTATTTGAACATTTTGCAGCTTCCATTTTTTTCCCCCAGCTCTGTATTTTTCCCCTTGACTTTTGTCTCTAATGACAAAAAGACTCAACCAGACTGCAGCTTTGTTTGGCACTGAACTTCCCTCCTGAGATGATCACACAAGAAGTCTTTTATCACTTTGGGGGCTCCCAGCCAGAACTGCCTGTGGTGGAAGTGGCTGGGACTGTAACTCCAGGCTGTGGTGGGATGAGAGTCAAGCCCAGGCTGTCAGCAAGGTGGAGCCCCTGCCAGGACACGTCAGGACTTCTGAGCCCACCTCCCCTGCTGCTGCTCTCATGAAGGAAAAGGTATGAAGTCCACATCTAGATTGAATTAGTCCTTAAAAAAAAATTAAGTGTTGTTTAAAATACAAATCCTGTCCAGAGTCATGGTCTAATTCCTTAGGAAATCACTATAAATCGAACCTCCCCTGCTCCCCACTGCTCAATAACAACATGTCACATCTTGGTTTTCTCACAGAGCTGATTCACCTTCTGTGCCACTTCACTGTGTTGGCTTCAGGGCTGTCAGCTCTGCTTCATGCCCGGGTTTGTGTGGAGGAAGGAGGGTCCTGCTGAAGTCCTGGACTTGTGCTCTCCTCAGGCATCATCAGCTCCCGGAGCTGCCTGACACTGGCTCACAGCTTCTTCCCCACATCACTTCCCATCACCAGCAATTCCTTGAGGAGGGAGCAGTGACACTGAGCCCAAGAAATGCTGACAGCCACATTTCCCAGAGGGTAAGGAAGATTCCAGCTCAGTTTTGGGTTTGGGTTTGGTTGGGTTTTTTTCCTCAGCATGTTTTGCTGAAGAAACAATTTCAGAGGGGGAAAAAGAAAAACCACATTATTGTGTAAGCAAGATGGAAAACAGCTTTGTGTGGGTTCCCAGGTATTTATGTGCCATTCCCTCTGTAAAAACATCGCTGCTTGGCTGTTCAGCACGATGGTTTTGCAACAGCTGTGTGCACAGCACCATCCATCACAGGCAGTGCCTGTTCCCTGGCTGTCCCCATGGCTTGGTTTATTTGTGTGCAAGGCAACTGAGGGGTTATCGAGGCTTTCCATCAGCTGTACAAACTCACAGCAGCACCAGCTCTCTGTGTGTCCCTGTCTGAGAATCACAGTTTTTAGGTAATAGGCTCTTGGGCAGCTCCTAGGAGAGATCTGGTCTTTCTGGCGTGTCTCTCTTGAGGGATTGCTGCCTGTGCTTAAACCAAAAGCTATGGAGTATCCAGAGCCATATGTATAGGAGGGAAAAGGCATATTTGCTTGTTTCCAGCCTCCCCATAGGATGGTTCTAAAAGCAGAAGTATGGGAAAAAAATTGACAAAATTGACGAAAACATCCTCGTATTTGTCAAAATTTTTGTAGGTGTTTTTCAGGGTATCGCTAAGTCTTGCCAGGCACCTCCCTTTCCTCCCCTGCCTTCCCCAAGTACTTCCATTTTTGGCTAAAAAATCTCAAGTTTGGGATTTTTTGACAAACAATGTCGGCCAAAACCCAGGCTCTTTTCTCTTAATTTTTCCACTTAATTTTTAAACTATCTTCTGGCAAAGCAGAAATACTGTTTTGATGGAAAACTTTCAGCCAGCTCTGCCAGCAGTCAGACAGGCAAAACAGAGCATCTTCCAGGAGAGGAGCCTGTCCGGAGGGCCCACACGAGGCAGGCGATGACTGAAGCTCCTCTCCCTGCCCTGTGCCCCAGCCAGCTCTCTGCTCTTAACAAGAGACATCTTTCTAGAGATGTTTCCAGCCTAAATCTCTCTTGGAAGGTCAGCTCAGTGATTCAAGTACTTTGCCAGGTTGAAGGAAGATGTGGGTGGCACAGAAGGATCCCCTTGGAGCGAAGGACCACAGGACTCAGAGGTGGGATGTTGTCCATCTCTTATCTTCTCTGGCTAATTTTGGACTCCTCCAGGCAAGCACCAGTTGGCAGGGAAGGGTGGGGAGGTGGGGCAGGTCCAGCTCCCTTTCGAAGCAAGGTTCAGTGTGCTGTTGTTTAATGGTGATGTTCAGATACACCAGGAGCTGAGCCAGGAGCTCTCTCCATGTAACTCTGAGAACCTCCAGGGATGAGATCCTGAAGTGGCTGATGGGCTGAAATGACACCAGTCACATCACTGTTGTGTGTCTGTCACCCATCTGTCCATGAGGAAGGGGCTTTTTCACACTGAATTCAAGGGAAGCCCAACTTCTCTCATTTTTGGGTTCCTGTGATGACAGGAACCTGGGAGACAAGGAAGAAAGATGTTCTTACAGAGTAGGACAGAAGCCAAATTTCTGTATTTGGCCTCAGCAGCCAAAGCAGCATCTGCCCATAGGCTACATGGACAGTCTCCTCAGGGAAAAGCCATCCCTCAGCAGTCCCTAACATTTGCAAAGTGCTCTGAGGTCTTTCAGTGAAAGACTTTTTAGATGTGCAAAAGTTTATAGCCCTTCTCTGACCATTGCTGATTTTAGAGGGTTAAGTTAGGAACAGGAAATACAGTGACTAAAGGAAAGCCATTAATATTAAATTCTACCCTCTGCCAGATTGTCTTGTGTTATCTTTGCTCTTTCATTAAATATTTTCTAGTTTTCCTTGCAGGGCATTCTTTACAGGGGCAGCAACTAAGGAGCTGTAACTTGGCACATCTCCACCTGCTTTTCTGTAGCAGTGCACATTTGTGCTCTGGGATTTGAGGAATTTCCTTTGCCTCTAGAACTGATATGCAAACAGTCAGCTGTACAGACATCAATCTGTCCAGTAGACATGCCACATGACCTAAGGAACAATACAGGTGGTCAGCACCATGCTGGTGACTCCTGAATTTCTGGAGCAAACACTCATTTTCCTGTGTCTAGAAGACGAGAGGTCCTGTATGCACCCTCGAGTAATCTGCTGTGCTTGACTGATCACAAAACACCCACCAAGATTCCCCTGACAAAATTCTTCATTTTTGCCAAGGAAAGCAAAGATTTGCAGGAAATCAGAGACGTGACCTTTGCCACCTCACAAATATCTCGGGGATCTCAGGATGCTCCTCTCGGCAGAGAGGTGCTCGTGCCAGAGCAAACGTAGAGCCCTGTATGGTCAGTGCACAGCTCTTCCAGCAGCCCTTTCTTCACCTTTCTTTATCAACTCTCTTGTGATAAAAGTGGAAATCAGCAAATTTCATCTCCTGCCTGTTTGCTGTGTTGCTGTTAAGTCACACTGTGTGCAGGTGCTGCTCTGTGAGCCGGGATGGATGAGGGGTGTTAGGACTGGGAGGGAGGAGTGTTGTGGGTGCATAACCCAGCTCAAACCACTTTCCCCACTGGAGATTTCATCACAGCCAAAGGCTGTGTGCTTGAGCTGCTGGGCACCCTGTGGGCAGCTAAAGCCTGAGGGAAAATGGGTGGTTAATGCCTAAGGGAAGATTTTCAGAGAGAAAGAAATGGGGCTCCAGAGAGCACCATAACTCTAAGCAAGTTGTTCTCTAGGACAATCACCATTTCTCTTAAAAATGAGCCTCTCATTTCCCATTGATACTTCTCAGGCTGCAAGGAGAGCCATTCTTGTGCTCCTGAAGGCCTTAGCTGCAGACACAGCCTTGGAAGGGAAGTTTGCTCTCGGGCTACGGCAAAGGAATGGGAAGCACGAGATCTGGCATCAAGTCCTACTCCCATTGAAGCCAGTGGGATGTTTGCCATTGGCTTCAGGGGGAGCCAAGATTTCAGTCTGCAGCCAGATTTGCTGGTGTGCTGAGCTGTGCTTAGAGCAGGACTAGAGAAGGGTTCTTGGTTTCCTTACAAAGCTGTTCCTGCCTCGGCTCCTCTGCTGCAGAGAGCTGGGTTCTCACCTCACACTGCACCCTGCTTGTTTTCAAGCTTTCAGATTTTATTCTTAGGCCAGAAATTCCTTGATGATAAGGCTGTCTGCTTGGTTTGTGCCTGTTGGATCTGTTGGATTGGCCCGTGGCTGGAGCTCTTGGGCATCCTCACCAGCAAAATCACCCTCCCCATTGGGGATTATGGACAGTGGTAGAGAATGGAATAAAGCAATGGGACAGGGGTGGGGTAAGTGGCTTAAAAGAAGTAAACCTTACAGGATTTCCTCCAGGTGAATCCCTGTGCCTCTTCCTTCAGGCAGTGGCTTGAATCAGCTCTAGAATTAATTCTGAGTGGTTCAAAAGAGCCTGAAGAGATTGTAAAGGTGGTCCAGGTTGGGCTTCCCTGCCTCACACCGTCACACCAACATGGATGGTTGAGAACTTTGATACTCTAAGCACCCCTTTTCCTCTCCAGGTTGGGTGGGAGCCGAGTTGTGCCAGTGATGAGCTGTGGTGTAGGTACTCATGAGCCTGACAGTGTAAACCTTTCCCAAATTATTAATTCCCCATCCCACAAGCCACCCCAAAGGCTACTGTGCTGCTGTAGTGACCCAGGAGTTCAGTAGTGCATTATACAGAGCTCTACAATGCACACACACCCTGTAACCCCCCAGCACCACCTTTGGGCAGGAGCTGAAGGAAACAATCTCAGAGTGGCCTGAGATCCTACCAAGCAGCCCCATTTTGGCCCATATAGGTCCCCTTGGTTTTATTTGAATGGACTCATGGTGGAGCCTCTGTATGCCCAGGAAAAGAAACACTGCAAGTAATCCTCACTATTTCTATTTCTCCCTGAACAGGATGTCTCTTCCTATTCCTCGTGTGGGTTTGGTCTCTACTGCCCCTCTCAGGGAACATCTGTCAGCACATCACATCTGTAAAGAAAGGCAGGGAAGTTCATCTGCTGGACCAAGAAGTTGTCCTGGATTTCCTCAGCTCTGCATATGCCTCCTGTTTGACAGCACCTTCTCCACCTGCCCAGCCACAGCCCGTGTTCTCTGGCCACCTGGGACTTCACCTCCTTCCTTTGACACTTCCACAAAGAGGAACTGGTGGGAGCGACTTTCTGGTGAGTTGAAACCACTGTGATCTATTTTATCCCCACAAACAAGGAGTTTGTAAGTGCAGGTGCTTAAAGCTGAGGTAGTGATCATCCAGAGATCCAGAGATGATAGTTTTACCGGGATTTTTCTCCAGCAAGTTGAAGCAAAGCTCCCCAGAAGTTCAGCCCTGGTGCAGGAGCGCACCCCAGTGTCACTTCTTAAGGCACTAAGATTTGTACAGGCAAAAATAGGTTTTTTTCTAGTAATAAATGGGAAAGAATGGGGAGGAAAGCAAAGAAAAACCCAAATGGTGCCATATTCTCTGGTGAGCACTTGGCTTAGCTCTGCAGCACCATTTCCCATCTCTCTTTCACATCACTGTGAGATGCTTCCCCAGAGTATCTTATCAGTAGATCCTTTCTCAGTTTAGTGGCTGCCTCTGAGCCAACTCTTTTCTTCTGGTTCAGTGACTGGCCCAATGTTTGCATGACCTGTAAGCCATCAGTTTGTTGCCCTTCTATTTTCCTTGCTGATGTGATCCCCACCAGCTCTCACGTTTCCTGGGGCCAAGCACAATCAAACAAAATTAATCAGAATAAACAGAATTAGTGCTCATTCTTCCTCGGTGACATGCCTGTGATTTTTTTTTTCTCCCTTAGCAAATTCAATCCAGCCACTCTTTCTCATGTTAATTCACTGTAGTTGCTATCCACAGGCTCTGGGTTACAGGTGACAATGACATGAGAGGACAATTCTTTGCTTTGGGCAAGATATCAGCGTTTGTGTGCTTTGAATTTTAAGGAATGGGGCAGGGGAGGGGTTACCTGATCCACTGCCCTCTGATTCTGTGTGATATTCATTCTGTTGCTGGTAAAGTCCCACCTGGGAACACAAAGATAAGAAAGATGATCCTTTGCACCTTTTATCTGCTCATTTGTCTCTTTAATCCTTTTCATAGTTCCTCTTCCCTTTCTTTTTTTGTTTCTCACTCTTGCACTGATTGTAGCATTCCAAGCACAGGGTCCTGGCACAGCTTCCCCTGGATCCTGGCAGATTTAAAGGCCAAGCATCGTGTCCAACATGCTCCCATGTACCCACATATCACATTGGCTGTCTCCTCGTGGGCATGACACTGGAGGGGACCACGGTGAAACTCCCTCCTGGCCCAGGGCTTGGACGTACAAAGTCCAGGGTGGTTGGTGTGTGGTTGGTGTCCTTGACCCATTCCTTGGGATTGTTTCTTGAAGAGAAACACCAGCATTTGACCCTTGGCTTTCAGGGGAGTTTCTCAGCACCAGCCTCAAAACAGCTGGAAATGCTGCCCTGCCCCTTCGGAGCAGAACCCTGTGGGGGAGGTTTTAGTGCTTGTGAAGCTTTTGATGTGTCTTTTTTTTCCTCCTATCGTCTGAGGAGGTCTCTGGCACTATGATAAAAGCCCCCACTGCCCACTGGGGCTCCTCTCCTCGTGGTGAACGTGGTCCTGAGGGAAGGCAAAGGTTTCTCCAGAAGCACATTCCCATTCCATGGCTCCAATTAGAGAAGGTTTGTCTGTGTTTATTGCTAACCTTGTTCTTCCTTGCACTCAACCCAGCTGGAAGCCTGGTTAGTGACTTCTCAGTGGCCTTGAAACCCAAGGGAATTAATTTGTCTTTAATTTTGTCCAAGCTGATACTTAGGGAAATGGTTGGGAATACTGCAAAGCAGCTTCTGGCAGTGAAGAGTCCAAGCCATGGATTTCACAGACTCCTGGTGATGATGCTCAGCCCGTCCATCTGAGGCTGGCCTGTGCAGCATTAACCAGCAGGGACACAGCCCACAGAGTGACAGACATTGTTCTGCTCCTCTTCCTTTCCTTGACAAGCAGTGGATTTGGCCAGCTGTGCTTTGTTGGTACTCGGTGATCACACACTGCTCGTGTTTGTGTGACTTTGCTGCTGTTCATAGTTTGCAGCTGCAGCTTTTCTGGGTCATTATTGACAGGCAGGCACATCCTTCCCTGCTTGATGGATGCTCCCCCCACCTTCCCTGGATCTGGGCTGTGCTGACAGCAAATTGGGTGAATCAGTTCACTGCTCTGTAACTCAGGGAACCACTGCACTAGCAGAGGAACCACCACAGCACTGCTTGGCTGTGGGTTTTTAAAGCACTTTGAGTTCCTTGGTGGAAAAGGGTAAGTGCAAACCTGTTCTGTTGCTCTGTGGTTAAGGGTTGCCCGAGATTATGGTTTGAAGCGAAAACAGCAGCCAGCAGAGCAGCTCATATCTCCCTCAGGTGCTCAGTGTGTGGTTTGGGGCATTTTCAGGGGCTCCTTCACAGCCCAGTTGCTGCAAGGGCTGAGCCAGCCTGGGGCTGGGACCCCTCTGCTGGGCTGTGTGCAGGACACAGGAGTTGTATCAGGGCCATGCTTAGACTTAGCTTTTGCTCTAACAATTACAACTGGTGAAATGTCAGTTTTCCCAATTTTCCTCCCCACAAGCTGTTTTAAAGGGAATGAAGGCAGATCCTGCCATAGCTTAGTGCATTACTGGCCAACTCAAATGACTCCCTGCTGTCTTTTCATCTCCACGAGACTTTTAATGCCCTAAGTCTTTGCATGTCCTGGCACACAGCCCAATTGAAGCATGAGTTCCAGCAGAAGTTTTACATTTAAAGCTGTTCTTTTGGCTTCAGAAATTTGCAGATTGAGGCTGAGAGTTGCAATTCAGCTGTTTGCTTGCAGATCTGCACCAGCCCTGCTGTGCTCTTGCCCTCACCTCGGTCAGGCAGTTGTGTTAACAGCATTTTCCAATTAAAGTAGCAGCTTCAGTTACAGAAAATGCTTTTCCTATCTGGGCATTTATCTGATTTTATTCTCTTTTAATCACTCATGGAGCACAGAGCTGTTTTGTTTTGTTTCCCATCCCTTATCATAATTAATCCATCATCATTTCTGGTGACAGGGCTTTTGCTGGATTTTTTATTTTTTGCCATTTCCAGCATCAGCTTGGGCCAGCACCACCCAGACACCCCATTGCTCACGATGGGAAGCACTGATGTGAGTGATCAGGCAAATGTCAGGTGGACATGCAACTCATGAAGTTCTGCTCACCCAGAGCAGGAAAAAAGACACCCTGCCCTGGAGAGAGCCCTTCCAGAAAACCTCAGAGCCTTGTTGTGGAAATTATGGCTGCTTCCCTGTCCGAAATGTTCCTATCTAAAATCTTGATCTTGAAGACCTCCACAGCCAAGATCAAGGCTTTTTACCATTACCTGGACATTCTGAGTCTCCAAGAGAAGAAATGGTGTCAGATGAACCTTCATCTTTCTTTGCAGTGCAGTGAGATAAGAGCAGCTTTTTTTCGCTTCACCTCCCTGAAATGGTCATCCTGGGCCTGTGGTACAACAAGCTCAGCAAGAGATGAGGGGGATTGAGGGGTCCTGTGAGGTGCAGTGGGATGTGACTCAGTGTTTTGCCTCCAGCCATTTTTTCCATTGTGGACAAAGCTGTAACTGCTGGTTCAACGTGCTTTGTCAGACGAGCACAGCAGTGCTTGGGCTGGGCCTGCAGGAACTGGAGAAGGACCAGGTGCAATGACAAAAGCACAGGTTTCAGTGCTGACATCCTGTCCCAGGAGGCCACAAAGCCCCTCTCTCCTATGACATGTTTCTCCCAGGGTTTGATCAGCTGTAGTTGTCACTCTGGGCTTGTGCCCACCACAGTGACCCTCAAACATTGAAGACCCTCAGTTCTGCAGGAGTCCTGTGAGGACGCTACAACCACAGACTGCCAGACCAGGCAGCAAAGCCTTCTGCTGCCCCCACGTGTTCCTTGCTCATTATTGTTGCCACGCACCAGTAAAGACGTGTGAACCCTCTTGGCAAGGATGAGGAGGAGCCAGCACAGCCCCACAGCTGCTGAGGTCAAGGATCTTGCTTTGGAAGATTCTTCTGTTCTTCCCTCAAGCTCAGGGCCTTCCCTCAGGCACCTTATATTTTAAAAATTGCAAAATCAGATTGGACATTTTGGATTTAGACAAGCTGGAGACAGCCTGGAGGCAGAGCAAAGCACAGAGGTGTCATCATCCTGCTCTGAAGGGGTGTGTGTGCACCCCCAGAGCCCATGAGGGGATGTTTGTCCAACCCCCCTGCGGTGTGAGCGATATCAGATACTGGCACAGCCTGTTCAGGCTCATTGGCTCAGACCACGAGGAGCACAGAGAGAGAGAGAGAGAGACAGCTTCTGGCAGGCTGAGCTCACATGATAGGGTCATTGGAAAGACAAGTGATGCTTTCATCAACCTGCCTTTCCCCAGTAGTATCAGCACCAGGGTGAGCAAGGACTGACTCTGTGCTCCTGTAGGGTACCACACTCTGTGTAGTGCCAAGGTCAAAAGCTTCCTCACAGATACTTTGAACCTGTTTTTCCACCAGTGTCTCAGCCCCCAACTCCCATCCTTCTTGGCCTTGTCAGGTTCCAGTTTTGAGCCATTAAAGGACACTTTTTTGGCAGAGTTACATTCCCTCTGGATCAGTGGCACCTCTCAAGCTGAGGGGAGAGCAGTCTGTAGTTTTTGACTATCTGCTGCTTCCCAGCAGTTACAATTTAGGATCTTGTGGTTTTGTCCTTCTCTATTGAGCAATCCTTTGTTGGGGCAGCACATGCTAATTGTTCTGGAGAGCATCAGTCCCAGAAGCTGCCTGGAGCCTGGGCTGACAGGTTGGTAGTAGCAGCCAAGCTCTCACATGGAACCAGTTTGTGGCTCGATAGTTCTGACCATCCCTGACACGGCTCCTTGGAAAGGAAGGGTTGGCTCTTTGCCATCCTTTCACCCAGAGCCTTTTTGCCCCTGGCACCATTAGCAGATGGGCCCAGGAGCAGTGCCTGAGCTAAGCATTGTCCACAGACTACCCTGGACACTGCCTGGAGCTCTGTGAGAACATCTGAAGGGAGCAGCACTCCCTGGCAGGGCTGACGTGCTCCGGCAGTCGGGGATTGCAAACACATGCTCCAGCTATGCAAGAAATCTTTGCCTTGTTCTGAATGCAG